AAAAAAAAAAAAAAAAAAAAAAAAAAAAAAAAAAAAAAAAAAAAAAAAAAAAAAGTAGTAAAAGGATGCGTTTTCCGTTCCCTTGTGTGTTTATATTGTATATATAGGTACAATAACAACAACAACAGCAGCAGGAGCAGGAGCATCACTCATCTCAGGCGGAGCTTATACATCAGGGAGAGGGAAAAGGAGCAGACACAATAAAAACGAGAATAAGCATCATAGTGCAGGCAGCTCCATAAATATCCTCCCGTACCCTATACTCTTGTTCTCACCGATTCGCAGAAGAGCCTCTCCACACACACACACACACACACACACACATTCATGCACTGCAGGGCTTGTGTAAAATCCCCCCTCGAGGGATGAAACGGATCACGTGGTGCGGTCAAAGTAGCGCTTGTTGTCGATGCTGCCGTAGCTGTTGATGTACCGGCCGCTGTACGAGGCCCGCAACCAAGCCCCGGCCCTGTTGGAGGCTATCAGCGAGTTCATGCCGCTCGGCCGGTCGGTCGAGACGCCCCAGGCCCTTTTGCCACCCAGACCGCTACCATGCGAGCACCCGCTGTCCGTCAGCGTATCCGTTGGCTCGTCCGAGTGGAGGAGTTCCTGCCTGCCGATCTCCGTGTACGGCTTGCGCTTGCGATCGCAGCAGCTCACGAAGGCGAACGCCGTCACCCCCTGCAACGCAGTACGCGGGTTTTTGTCAATCATTTTTTTCTTACGATTTTTAAATTAAATATATAAATCAGGTGTGTGTATACTCACGACGAGCATGTGCAGCACGACGATGAACATGGAAGCGCTGCGGAAGCCTATCCTGTCGAAGAGTATGCCGGCGACGCTCGGCCCGATGAAGGCCCCGAGGGCGAAGGCGCTGGTCCACAGTCCGCTGATCATGCCGTAGGTCTCGAGGTTGTTCGGGAAGCCGTTGGCTCTGCAAACAAGAGGGATCGATTGATCGATTTTATGAGTAGCCCCTGCCGATGCGCTACCCGCTCGGCAGCTGTGCATCGGCTGTCGTCTTTCGGGGGCCTTTTTTCTTGCCTCCCGCGGTATTATATCCTTCAACGATTGACATGTAGAGAGTAAAACATTTTCACGCTTTTTGAATGTGACAGCCAAGTTGTTTCACTCCAAAACATTTATACATTTTTGTTTTTCCCATTCAAAAGTGTCCAGTGGATCTGGTTAAATAATTGGTGTACCCATAGACTTGATTTTTCTCTAAACAACTGCTAAACACACAACTGCTAAATGCATCTGATGAAAAAAAAAAAACAAAACAGAGCAATTTTAACGACACGCTTTATATAACCGCGTTTTTTATCATATCCTATTAAAACATGATTATTTAGTTGTCATCGAAGCTATATATACAAAAATCACCACATCACGTACGCGCTGACCTTCACGCGTTCTCGTATCGTAAGACAATATGCAGAGGTAACTTTTGTCTTTGTCGACAAACCACTGCATCGACAACTCGACCCTGAATCTCGTTACCGGTTGACTCTAGTTATTCAAAATCGCAAAAATGAAGTACACACAAACAAAAACCTAACTCGAAGAATCACGCAACTGTGACGCGCCGTAATATCACGTTGCACGCGGTGCGTAACACCACAACCACCACACATGATCTTCAATACAATGATTATTAAAAAAACAGGCTCACATGGATATTCTGAGGGCGTCGGTGAAACTGGCGACGAGCTGGGCCGACATGCCCAGCCCGTGGATGATGAGGCCGCATATTGTGACCCAGATTATGGTGTCCAGTGGTATGACGGGCACGGGTCCGATCAGCCCGAAGCCAATCATCACGAGGGCGCAACCCGCGATAGTCGCCACCTGCGCGAAATCAAACAATTGTATACGTAATATATAGGTATACACCGCAAAGCGATCTATGGTAGGTATATTATGTATAGTGTACGCACTTTGGGATTGGAGTGGTTGTCGCAGAGCCAGCCCCAGGCGGGGGCGGTGAGGGCATAGGTGCCCCCGTTTATGACGAACATCAGGCCGAGGGTGACGGGGCTCAGGTTGAACTGCCTGAGGTGGGGCTCGAGGGTGGCCTGGAGGAAGCCGATGCTCATGCTCGTGACGATTATCGAGACCGAGGCTATCATCACTCCCGGTATCCTCAGGACCTTTTTGTACTTCCCTGGAGGTTTTACGGGGGGCGATCGCATATAATTTATATATTATTACATATAGTCTACATAAATATATATGGGTGGGTATGGGTGATTGGTCACCTTCGATGCTCTGACTGGCGTCCTCGCCGTCGTGATGGACGGGCAGGACGAAGAAGGTCGACACCGCGGCGAGGAACAACGCGAAGCCCAGTACGACGAAGGGCGTCGTGTAGCCGCCCAACTGTGAAAACATTCGAAAATTGATGAAAATAATACTGGCTATTTTTTTTTTTTTTTTCATCTCTCCCCTGAATTCGGTTGTTGTCATACCTGGTAGAGGGCTCCGCCTACGGTGGGCCCGACGATGAGGCCCAGGCCGAAGAAGGTCTCGAGGCTGGCGAAGGTCGTGGCGACGTTGTTGGGGAACTCCTTGGCGATGATGGCGAAGCTGGCGGTGAGGAAGGCCGCGTTGCCCATTGCCTCGATTATCCGGATGACGAACGAGAGGACGATGAACGGGTAGTGGCCGTCTATCCTGTCGAGGAGCCCGAACAGAATGGCGCAGGTGCCCGTTGTCAGGATGCCCCCGTTGAACAGGATCTTGGGGCCTATCCGGTTTATCTGTGGAACCGTAGATCGAACTGTACCACTAGTAGTACAGTAGCTCGTTTCTTTTTTTTTTTTTTTTTTTTTTTTTTTTTTTTTTTTTTTTTTTTTTTTTTTTTTTTTT